GAGGAAGCAGGAGCTCTGAGGAGGTGGAAGAGACAGGCAGAAACAAGACATGGAGAGCAGAGGGAAGGAGTGACTCCAATCACTGTTTGCATCAAGAGTGGCCAGAGGAAGGCAGGTGGGCACTAGTGACAGGGTCACACTCTTCCACACAACTCAAGCCCATGAGACACCAGCCCTGGCTGACCCGGTGGTTTCCCTTCTTGCCYGTCATTCAGGTCAGTCTCCTTGCTGTCCTGTGTGTGTCCTCACACCACTTCAATAAAAATTACCTTGAAGAGGAAGGAAGCAGAAAAGCATGAAGGGCCAGGAGCCTGTGTGTGCCAGCACAGGCTGTGACAGCAGGCTGCAGTTGGTGTGGCTTAAACCACAGACTCCTACTGTGCACAGTTGAGCTCTGGAGGCTGGTGTCTTAGTCTGTTCTCTGTTGCTAATAAGGAAACACCACAGACTGGGCAAGTGATAAAGGAAAGAAGTTTTGGCTCATGGTGTGGTCCAAGGTCATCAGGCCACACCTGGAGATGGATTTCTTGCTGGCAGAGTCCTGAGGCATTGCAGGAATCACACAGAAAGAGACAAGGAGCACCTAAGGCACAGAGCCAAGGTGGCTTTTATAGGAAACCCATCCTGAGATACCCACTAGACCACCAACCCACTCATCTAGTAATCATCTAACCACATGAATGGATTAATCCTTAAAATTAATACCTCTTAAGGGGAATTGTGTTACAACATGGATTTCTAAGGGACAACCTAAATTGAAATCACAGCAGCTGGGAAATCCAAGATCAAGGTGAGGCAGACATGGTGTCCAGAGGTTCTTCTTGGCAGGCAGTTGGCCCACTTTTCAGTAAGGCTGCACATGGCAGTGGGAGGGAAAGAGAGCTCTTGTCGCTCTTCCTCTTCTTCTAAGGACACTAACCCACATTGGGGGTCCTATTCTCACCACCTTTTCTAAACCTAGAGACGGCTTTACACTACCATCTCTGAAGAGCACACATTGGTGGTTAGCGAATCAACATGTGCATTTGGGGTGGGAGGGGACACAAACATTGAGACCATGATATTGTGCAATCTCCTCTTTAATAGAATTTGTGCTGGCAGCATTTCCCTCAGATAAAGGCATCCTGTGCTTTGATTCAGCTTTACTAACCCAAGTGCTCATGATTACAGAAGAGAGTGAGATCTGTAAACCAGCTTGCTCAAATCCCCCAGAGTTAACTGGTGCCGCCAACATRACGCCTTGGATTTATTAACTGTTCCGCAGTTTTCTGGCCACTGCCCTGAAGGCGAATCCTGGAACACCAAATAAAATTGTAATAACAAACGTGATGATTCCATTAATCACCTGCAATAGAAGAGAAGAGCGGGGAGTGGGTCACTGTCCACATCAGGAGTCTGAGCAGAGATTGTTGGGCAAGGAATTTGCAGCTCAGGAAAGACCCATGGTCCCTGTCCTCTTCACCACATCCCAGAGGGAACACTATGGGCAGGGAGGTGAGGGGTGTTTCAAACCGAGATGGGGACAAGGGTGAAGGGGGCAAGTGGGGGTCTCTAGAGTCAGGGAGGTAAAAAATGATGAAGGGTGATCCAGTAAATGCAATGAGGCAGCTGAGTGTTCTCCCTGGCAACAATTGAAGTTCAGATCATACTATTTGGTGGAGATGGCAGGAGGTCCTGGTTTTCTGATGAGTACATTCCAAAGGCATCCCTCTCAGAGTTGGAGAAAAACCCTTCTGAGTTGTAAGGCCACTATCTGTGTCTGTGTGAGCTTCCTATCTTCCACTCCGTGTCTCATAGAGTCAGAGGAAGGATTCCTAGTTAAAGTTTGTTTCAACAAATGTACTAAGACAGGGAGGTCTTGCAACTATCATCTGCTTGGAAAAAATATAACACATGCCAGGCAAGTCTTGACCTTAAGTGTGACCCTGTCACCAATTAATGCCAATCTGCTTGGATAAAAAATAGAACTTTCCCACACAGGGATTTGAAAGGGGATTGGGAACTTCCTCAGACAGAGCTTCATGTTCCACAGGCCATGCTAGATGTTAGTGGTCTATCAGAGCAAAGTGTGGGCAGAGTCACTAGGGGCCCAGAGTTCTGCAGTGCCCAGTAACCCAACAGAGAGGCCTCCTGAAACAATGTGAGCTGGTGTCATGGTGACGGGCATTAACACTTTCAATGTGAACTGAAAAGTTGTCAGTTTTTGACTAGAAAAATTGTCTGATTTCATTGACAGTTTTAAAATAACACTGGGCTTGGCTATTTGAATTATGTAGAAGTCATTTTTCACACATTAAATAAGCTAGTTGTGTAACTCCAAGGTTGTCAAGAAAATTTGGAATGAAATCATGGATGCAAACTGCAAAAAATACATCATCTGTAAATATTTTACATTTATGATTTTTGAACTTTTTGATTGTTACCTAAAAATGTATAATGTAATATTTCATAGTTTTGGGTTTCTTTTGTGTGTGTGTGTGTGTGTGTGTGTGTGTGGTGTTGGCAATAGAACTCGGGGTCTCATGCACACCAGGCAAGTGCCCTGCCACTGAGCTACAGCCCCAGTACTTCAAGTTCTTTAAAACCAAGACTTGTCACCCAATGTCCCATTGGTCAAATCTTGCCTGTCACCTATTTCTACAAAAGTAAATAAATGTAAACAATCAAGCTCTATTGGAACACAGCCTCGCCTGTTGGTTTACAAAGACTATGGCTGCTACAGAGTGACCCTGGCAGAGTAAAGAGAGGGACTAACTGACCCACAAAAGCTGAAGTGATTCCTGTTGACCTTGTGCAGGAAAAATGGGCCCAACATGACCAGGGTCCCCTTCTCGTGGTCCCCACTGCTCACTCTGCCAGCTTCCCTGACCCCCGATCACGGGCAATGTCCAGATCAGATTGCACTGCCAGCCCTCAGCAGGTTCGCAGCCCCTGTCAGCTGGGGAATGGTCTGGTACCAGGGAAGGGGACACAGGCTGAAGGCACACCTGGTCACTGCGGGAAACTCCGTAGCGCAGCTTGTTCACAAAGTGCTCACAGTTGTTCTCGGTCAATGAATAGCGAATGTATTTCCCCACCATTTCCTCTGCCTGCTGGACAATTTTGTCAGGTGGCTGTGGCTCATACTTGTTATCGTTCTTGTTATTGACCCGGTACTTGTTTCCTCCAGCCACCACCGACAGCAGCTCCTTCTTCACTATGGCTCTGTTACCCAGGACGGAACCCAAGCCGCTCACGCTAGGTCCTGCCGCTTCACCTGTGGAAACAGTGGACTCAGGCCAGGGCAAGGCTGTAGAGTCCTCACTGCAAATTGGGACAGAAGTGATTTTCAGAAAGTTTTGTCCTCCTCCCCTGGACAGCGTCCTTCCCAGTGCTCATTCCCAGCTGGAGCAGTGCTGTAAGCAGCCCTCCACCCAGGGGTGGCTCAGTGTGGCTGCAATGCTTTTCACTGCCTCCCCCCACCTGGGAAATCTTAGTGTCATGGGACCTGACTCGGGCATGGACATTTACTCTATTATTAATTCCTTTCATATGGGAGATTCTGGAGTCCAGTGTTGAAGGAATCAGAACTAAAATGAGAAAGTGAAAATGATACCTTCAAATATGCTCTTAAGAAACTCACTGGAACCATAGTTGAAATCAGTGGAAACTCTGTGAGTACATGGAGTGTTTCTGTAGTAGCAGACCAATACTCAGGGCATGTCTGGAGAAGGAATCAATCATATTTAATTGGGGGTATAACTTGTGGAAATTTCTATCAAATTGGTAAGAATGTGTTATACTTTTACCCTGGTTTAAAGCCCAGTCATTCAACCTAGCATCGTGCCAATGCCAAGGTGCCAAGAATAATCATGGTATCCATAAATACACTTGGTGGTAGGTAATGGGATCTACCTGCAAACACGCACACTTTCTCTCTGTCTCTTTCACATTGGATTATTCATTATTTGTAGTAAAAAGATAYACAAAGATTTCCAATCTAAGAGAGCGGTATGCTATAGCCTGGGATATCTCTCACCCCCAATAACCACACATGACTTTTGAAATGCCAATCAAATTCTCACCTTGAGATCATTATGCATAAAATATTCCTCCATAATTTAATTTTTCAAGAATTTCCAAAGCCGATCATGAAGAGAAACTGGGTATTATTTTTCTTTTTAGCATGCTTTTATTTAAGTGGAAATCTCTGAACTAGAAAACACCATGACCAATATTTCTACAAGGCCTGAAAAAGGTTCTAACAACACATTAAATTCTATTTTGTATTAAAAAAAATTTTTTTTTAGTTTTAGGTGGACACAATATCTTTATTTTACATTTATGTGGTGCTGAGTAGTAGGAGAGCACTCTACCATGAGCACAACCCCAGCCCCTCACTAAATTCTCTTTAGAGAAGACAGCCTGACATAGTAGTTTAGCTTCAAACCTCCACAGGAAAAAGGTTTTCAATAGCCTAACTGCTCCACAGAAGGAACTGAAGTTCTCACTGTGGAAAAGGCTGCTT